TCTGGATTCAAAACCTGCGGAGGGTCGTTTGGGAACCTTGTGGCATGCATTCGGTGCACCAGGTTTCTGTATTCGTCCCTCCAAAAAGTGTGGCTGGTCCTGCACGAGGCCTTCACCACTATAATCAAATCTCATGTGCCGGTGTCGGGATGTCGGTTTCTGGGGACTTATCGGCCTGACCTCATACGTCGAAAGCGACGGAGAGTCGATTATATATATATATATATATATATATATATATATATATAGAGAGAAGAGAGAGAGAGACAGAGAGAGAATTAATATATAAATATATTAAAAGTTCAGCAATGATAGAGATATTAAGAAATATCCCAATGTAAATATCGTTTAGAAATATTCTATGATTATTATAATCATAGTAATAATTATTATTATTATTATATAATTATTATTTAGAAATATCACAATGTAAATATCATTCAGAAATATCATAATATTAAGAATCTTTGGAATGATAGCAAATGGATGAGGAGTTAAAACATCAACGTAAATCGCGTTATCATCTTTCGAAAGAAAGTTGAATTCCGATGAATGAATGTATGATAATTTTCTTTGAGGTAAATGTTTACAGCCTCATCACATTAAAATCCAGGTCCTCATAACATCGCCGAAGCTAAGTAACGTCACGCCTAGTCATTACCTAGATGGCTGACCACTTTGAAACACCAGATGCTGTAAGTGGATGTGCAGGTGGTGGACAATAGCTCGGAATTGTTAATCGGCGAGCCGTGTTCCAATTACCATTGCGTTCGTTATATTCACTTACGCGCAAATAACCTTGGGAAAGACATGAATCGACCACTTCTCCCCCCAAATATGGGTTAATTAGTATAAATTGTATCACTACATCATTATTATAACATGCAAAGTGTTGATAAGCCGAATTAATCATTTAAGTCAACAACTAATTTTGTTTTTAAACTCCATTTCTTTTCAGGACGAGGGCAATCATAATTCTTCCCAGATTCCGTTTCTTTATTATCAATAAATTGCTATGCCTTCTAAGTAAAGATAGTGGAGTAGTTTTCTGTTGCCTTTCCCATGTTTAAAATTCAGAGTAATCCTTTTTCTAGTTTATCTGACACTCAGAGTTAGAGGAACCAATTTACCCTATTATTTAATCTATAGATTGAGGGAGAAATGATGGATTCCTAATTTCCAAAAGACATTTGTGAGAAAGGAAACACAACAGCCTGGCCGAGGTTTTAAACTGGGCTCTCTCAGTTTATTTTTGCGCCGATGACCGTGGCACTACCTGCATCTTCTCAGAGAAACAACTAGTACTCAAAAGAAATATTTACCTGTATTACCAAAAGTAAACGTTCACTCAATCAAACTAGTAACACAAGAATTTTGCAACATAAAGATTAGGACTTTACGGTTCGCTACCCGATCGACTGAGAAAAAACAATTGTTTTTGGTTTCGTTTTGACATGATTCCCAGTTCTTCAGCAATGTAGCATTTGTTATAATCGTATTTAAATGGACAGTTTCAATTTAAACAACTTCATATATCGACAGTTTTTAAAGAAGTCAAATATTTACCAAATAAATCGTAATAAATTTTATGGTATTAACTAAATAGTAAATTGTATCCAGACACTGACTCAAATTGAATTCAGAATAAAGAAACGTTACAAATAACGTATGTTAGATTCTTAAGAAACAGGATAAAAGCGGCTGGTTTGTGACCAATCTGGACTTTTGCCATTCTGAAACAAAGTTAAAGACAACACAGGAATTGCAATAAAGGAAATGAATGAATAGTTTCATGAGATTATTTCTCAGGTCTTTTCCAAGGTTAATGAGTAATTTCTGGTGCTATTTGCTATTTTATTCCCGAGAGGTTATTTCCGAGATTAATATATCTAAGGTGACTTCTGTAGTTATTTCTGATTTTATTTCTGATGTTACTTCCGAGATTATTTCCGAGTTTCTTTCTTAGGTTATTTCCGTGGTTATATCTGGTGTTATTTCCGAGCTTTTTCCCGAGATTATATCTGAGGGTAATTCTGATGTTATTCCTGATTTTATATCTGCGGTTATTTTCCAAGTTATATATGAGATTATTTATTATTATTTCCGAGCTTATTTCCGATGTTAGTTTAAGTCGGAGGTTATTTCCGATTTTATTTCTCAGTTTATTTCCAAGGTTATTCCTTAGATTATTTCCGAGCTTATTACCGAGGTTATTTCTATGGTTATGTCTGAGGTTATTTCCTAATATTATTTCTGTTGTGTATTTATTGTTGGTGCAAAATAGTTGCGATTTTTAGTCAACAATCGTTAAAGCTGTGAATAACAACTGAATAAAAAATTTATTAGCCAAAATGAGAAGTATTAGTATTTTTATCAACAGTAAAAACGTTTATTAATTCTGATAATATTGCATACTGGATTCCTGGAACTGGTGAATTCTTCGAAGGTGTTTGGTGTTGTTGTTTGGTTGTGAAGGATCACCTGTCGAAACTGGAAGGGTTGGTTTCCAAGAAGTTCAATAGAGCCGAAAGAATCCAAAGAAAAACAGAACGAATGCAAGAATCTGGCACTGTTTATCTTCCCGGCTGCTCTTTTGCCGTTGAAGACCATCAGTTGCACGTATTGAGATATCTTAAAATTGCTAGGCGACCGAATAGCAATCCGGTGCGTAAGCTGAACAAATTCACATCCCTTGCATAATTATCTCCTTCCAAAACAAATTTAATATGAGCTCTTTGCTATCTGCCTGTGCACTGAGGGGCAGCTATTTTGGAAGACGATCATGGGTAGGAAAATAACTGGTAACTCCATACACAGACTTTCCAGACATTTTATGGTTTGCATCAAATAAAAATAATCGATGGAATTCAAATTATGTTTTAAATTAATGAGCTCTCCTCCTTAATACCAAGAATGCATTGAATTGAAGCAAAGTACTAGATTGGCAATTATGTTGCATCTAATCTAATAGTTTATTTTCTTGCACTTCTCGCTTATGGAACTCTCTTCTTATTGCAGCCTTGTTACGTACAATCCTCTAAAAATGAAATTCAACATCAATCGTTATTTTCTGTCTTCCTAAACTCTTTTCTTTTATTGCATTTTCTCCTCAGTAAATAAAAAGTGGTATTACTTTGTGACTGACATTGGAATCAGTTCATTAATATATATATATAATATATATATAAATGCCCTTTATATATATAATATATATATATAAATGCCCTTTAAGCCTTTTCCTCACCAAACCGGACTCATAAATAATTACATCGGCTACACAACCACATGTTTATCCAGACGTCTTACGTTACACCTATCTGATCACAGCTCCATCAGAACACATTTAAACACACACTCAGATTTACCCGACACTATTAGGAACATACTAGTAGAAAACACAAATATATTAACTGCATCCACTTGCAAAAAAAAGACTAAAATAATGGAAGCTCTAATAATAAAAAGAAAAAGCCAACTCTTAACAATATTAACTATGAACAAAGCCATAATGTGCTAACTGTATTCGAAATTAAAAACATCACTACCACACACTGAACATACACAGAATGCACACACTCTACTAAGCTGATAATCGAATCATCCTTGATAATGGCTAAAGGTATAGCCGAAAGCGCTCGGAAATACAAAACATTCGGACAGTTCTTACACACCCTTTGTCCAGAAAAAAAAGCTCTTGTCAGAACACAAAAAAAATTAAATAAAAAGCTCAACCTTAGTACCTTGTCTGTCGTTTTTAATGAAACATGCATATATATATATATATATATATATATATATATATATATATATATATATATATATATTAGGTACCTTAAAAAATTCGTATACCTAAGGTTTAAATGTATTTTCATAAAGGAAAAATCCTCTTCGAAGCTTACCTCCAGCTTCAAAAAGATAATGTGTATTTCAAATAGAAATTTGAATAGTCGATTCTTCGGAAAAACCAATTGAAACGTCCATTTTTAAACTTTTTAGAGAAATTTAGACAAAAATTATTTTTTCCTTTTTGAAAATCCCGCCAAAATAAGATATCCATTTCTGAAACATTACTTTCGTAAAATTAGCAAATTTAAAGTCAAATTAATCTGTTCTGAAACAAATATCACATACTTATAGCATATTTCTTGATTTCGGTGTATTGTTATTTCCACGTCTCTATCGATAATTTGATGACTGAATGTGCTGACAGGTTTAGTACGGTGCACCAAAATTGACATAACGGTTTTTTTTGTTTCTTATAATAATTTAAAATACTATAAAAACTTCTTACATTATTGAGTTACCTCTATAATGCTATATCATTATTTAATAGCTAAGATAATGATAAATAATTTTATTAATTTTAATATTACATTAAGTTATTACATATTTAATTTAATAACTGAGATAATAATTAATAAAGTTATTTTTATATTAATAATTAAAATATCTCACTCAGTTATTAATTGTTTAAATTGATAAATGAGATAATTTTATTATCTCAATTTAATTTTTAATGTAATAACTGAGAGTGAGATAAGCCAAAGACCTTTATATGTCAAGGGGCTTTCCTTAAGGAGGAGACAAGCTTTGAAACACGTGACCTTTTAACCATAATGTCACTTTCGAGATATCATACTAAAAAAAATAGAACATTTTGACGCATAAAAAAATCTGTAATTATGGTAAAAAGTTTTGGTAGCAAGATTTGTATTAAGCTTTTAATTTTCGTTTAGTAAATATAGTTTTCACTTAAAAACCTAATAACCTACCGCGTTCTCTGTTTGGAAGAATTTTAATTTTATTGTCAGGAACTTGCCCCAAAAGTTTGTAAAAGTATATGTGGAGTATATCTTGAATTGTGCTTTTAACAGCCTCTACCGTAAGCTTTAAACTTAACAACTCAAAAACGAAGAATTTACGGAGATATATCGATATGAAATTTTGTCCTTGTTTTCGTGTGAGAAACTCGCCGCCAATTTTGGAAAATTATTATATACAGGACGTCCTCGATTAGATAGATATAGATAGATAGATAGATAGATAGATAGATAGATAGATAGATAGATAGATAGATAGATAGATGTCCGATCTTCAATATGAAATACTCTTTCTTTGTAAATAGACATATACGATTTAATTAAACAATGCCTATACACTCTCTCGAAAGGAGATATTTTTTTAAATATAGATAGATAGATAGATAGATAGATAGATAGATAGATAGATAGATAGGCAGGCATTGTCAGTTGTTTACTTATGCGACTTAAACCATAACTAGGGGAAAATGGATTTATAACCGCCATCCTTTACATCCAATTGGAATTCATACAAGGTTCAAAATTCATTCACAAATCTTGATAGATAGCTACATAGATAAATAGATGCATATATATATATGTGTGTGTGTATGTGTGTGTATTAAATAATGCGGCTTCATTAATATTGTAAAATGGTCATCCGAAGAATAAATCAATAAAGTTAATGTAATTAATGGCGAAGTCAATTCGCTAACAAAAATCTCACTAACCACTCGCTGAACGACACGATCTTTGTTTTTATTAATATATATATATATATATATATATATATATATATATATATATATATTATATGTGTATAGATAGATAGATAAATAGATAGAAAGAGGCTGAGAAAGATAGATAAAGACTTAGATAGATAGATAGATAGATAGATAAGTGAACAGAGTGAGATAAACATCAATGACTGCCTCCTAAAAATATCTGAACAAAATGATATAACCCCTGCTCGCGACTTTTTTTTACATCTCCTCCCTACATTATTTACTAAAGATTTATAGTCCTCGGTTATATAGGTTTGTCTACGCATGTTTATTTGTCTGTGTCTTAAAGAAGCCTCTGATATTTTGTCGATTTATTGAATTTAGCTTTCGTGACGAGAATAGATTCTACATCTGCATTGCAAATCTGTCTTATGGCAAATTACAAAAACGTCAGATTGACCACGCCTCCGAATAACAGACTTTATAAGTTTAGTGTCGGCTTGTCACATAAAAGCTAATAACGTTAAAATCGTTTCCATCAAACTCCAAAAAATTATGGAATTGTATTACTATAAGGTTGCGTTATAAGCACAGTTGGCTCCTAAAGTTTTTAGGAACCAATTGTAATGATGATCATCCTAAACAGCTGTTCCTGCTCTATAACATAACAGGTGATATAAAATGGGTTGCATGCAACTATGTTCAAAGCAAACACCAGTGAATTGACAAGTATTATTCTCCATCACCGACCACAAAATCTGAGCTGCTTAGAGATGTAATACTGTGTCCGTGGTGGGATTCTCAGGGTATTATTAATTCATAATTCTTAAAATGCATCGAAATATTAAATGCGCAATTATACGTCCAGCATCTGCAACGTGTCCATTTGCCTTGAAAAGAGCCCTGCGCTCTTTGAGAGGATTAATATCGTTCTCCCCTATGACTACTCAAACCGCATACATCTAAAATAACAAAGGAGAAAAATTGAAACTCTGTTTTATTTACACGATTTACATTTGGACTATTATCCTCACCTTTGTTGTTGTTATCACAACATTTTGGCTGTTGTGTCCTCCGGCCTTCATATATATCAATCCAGGTAACTTACAGGGAATACTGAACTGAACCCTTTATTTAACCTACAGTGTAGACCGTTCTCGTTGCACTGTCCATGTCTAGGGATACATAGTTTAGTTCATATTTCTAGTTAGCCCAGCTATTGTTCGCGCGGATCTAGGATTGAACCCACAATTACTATATTACCAAATTCACGAACGAAGCCTTTAATCCACTAGGCTATTGTCGGTTGGTATGTTCTACCCCACCAGCCATATTCACCTGATCTTGCACCAATCGATTATTACCCTTTACGATCACTGCAAACCGATGGTGAAGCATTCTCTAACGAAAATCAGATTGAGGTCTTCCTCGGAAAACTTTTCACATCTAAAACCTGTCAAATTTTACTAAAGCGGTATCGACTAGTTGTTTGAGAAGTAATAAGTCATTTGCAAAAATGATGAATCAGTCAGTTATATGCCATACGGGATACACGCTTAGGCGATCACGTATCGTTCGATACATTACTGACGAGGCAGATTTTTCTATAAGGCTATAGAACCCCGTCTGTTCTCCTATTTATCCATAGCTGGGGGGGGGAGAAGACGATTCACACCTTTCCCAAGTGAATGTAATAGATTCAAATGTAATTCAAACTCGTCTCCTCGATTCCTCAATCTGTGCCGCTATCCATACTCCATCGTAATTATGAATGCATAATTGAATAAAATGTACTTTGTTTATGTTTTTGTTATTAAGCGTACAACGTTGTCGTAAAAGAACATCTGCCAACGTCTAGGGGCTTACATCATTTCACCTTTCTTGGCAGATTTTCTAAAAATATTTTCATGGCAACTGCTCTGACGAGATACATTCACTGATACTTCAACTGCATGAATTTAAGCGTGCTACGTATTTTGTCATCTCGGTTCCACTCTTTCACTGTCGAAACAGTTAAGTGTAACCACTGCTTCTACTCCAACAGCTTCTTCTCTCGCACTTCCCGACGTTGGAACTACCTTCCTCTTACTTGCTTCTCTGATAGCTATAATCTACAAATATTCAAATGTAACGTCAATCGACATTTTCTGATGCCTTGATTCCGATCCCTGTACTTCTCTATATCCCTTCCTCAAACAACCCGCTTTATTCTTGCTCTCATTCTCTGTAACCCCATGTGCGCTTGGGGTGAAATGCTTAAAAAAATGATCTTCTGTTATCAGTATAATAATGGTATGGAATATTTAATAACAAAAGTGATAAAAACATAGACCAAAAAGAAAAATTAACTAAATGAAATCAGCTAGATTATATACCCAAAATACATGTTACAAATATATATATATATATATATATATATATATATATATATATATATATATATATATATATATATATATATGTAGCTGATATGTAGGAGTAATGAATAGTGGCTTGACTGAGTTTGAATTGCCTTGGATGGCAAGTGGTCTAGGAGGACAAATCTGAATTCAAAACCTACGGAGTGTCGTTTGAGGACTTTGTGGCACTTAGTGCACCAGGTCTCTGTATTCGGCTCTCCAAAAAGTGTGGATGGTCCTGCACGAAACCTTCACCACTATAATCAAATCTCATGTGCTGCTGTCGGGCTGTCGGTTTCGTAGGAAATGATCTGTTTTACCCTCATACGTCGAATACCGACGGGAGAGTGGAATATATATATATATATATATATATATATATATATATATATATATATATATATATATATATATAAAATATTCAAATATTACCTCTACTTCATGTGCATTTTAATCACTTCAATGTAAATATGACTTTAGTTTGATGAAATCCTAAAGGAAGAAAACCGTCATACTGAAACAACGTTTACACTTTCTCACAGATTTTCTTAACATAGATAGATAGATAGATAGATAGATAGATAGATAGGCAGCCATACAGAGATATGATACGGGTAAATATCCATGTATATACTATATACGATAAATATAGTTAAATTTCTGCATCTGCTTGATTTTGAGGTCTTCATTATGTAACTCCCTTACGCTTGGGAGTCATAATGAAGGGCAAAGCGACACAAATAAGAGATAACGAATGTAACAGAATCCAATATGGCGTATATTATATTGCGGGAGATGGCGACGTAACCACAAAACGGCGCACGCCGTGTCTGATGTAACCGGGGACATTCTCTCTCTCTCTCTCTCTCTCTCTCTCTCTCTCTCTCTCTCTCTCTCATATATATATATATATATATATATATATATATATATAACTCCCATTTTGTGCGTGCCCTTTTGCTGCCGACTATTCATTCTCTCTTCTTAGTCCTTTCTTCTTGCTTTTCATTAGGTCCATTTCTTAATATCTGAAAATGGCAAAGCCTAAAATATCAAGGAGAAAAAAATCTCTGCTGCCCACTTTCTCTTTTGTTGCCCAAGTTCGTTTCTTTCTCAATGGTTATTTCTAACCCTGTTTTCTCATTGCAAACAAAATTTTCAACATCTTTAATTCCTTGTATAATACTCAGCTTATATACCACTATATACGTTTATCTGTTTCTATCTATCTATCTATCTTTTTCATTTAGCGGCATTTTCTTTCTTTCTTTCAATTTCGTCTTTTTATTCATATTTGCCTTTTCGAAAAATGTCAATTACAATTTTTGCATAAACAAAAACAAACCTACGACGAACTGCTAACATTCAAAGGAATCTTGCAACAGGTTTTTTTTTTTATTGAAAGCCTCTTTTCTCTTATGAAGATAAAAAATGTGGCGACTGACGCAACGTAAAAATAGGAACATTTTAAAAGCTGGCAAAAAGCAAATTTCCACAATTAAACGAATTCTGTTCCCCCATTATGCAAAGCAGAATGCAGGACTGAGTTTTTGAAAAGCTTATTTCTCGATGTGAATCTGAATAAATGGAAAAATTGTGGATTTAGTGTGCAGATGACAGCTGGACAAGGAGAAGCAGGTGTTTATTAAAGAGGAATTGAAATGAATTCGATTTAACCTTCTTTTTACGTGCGGAAACTTAGCATAGCGCAAGAGAAGGAAATGAAGAAAAGGAATCGCAAATGATAAAATACAAAATAATAAAAGAAAGGAAAAAAGAAAAAGAGGAAGAAATAAAGATTATAAATGAAAAAGACAAAAACGAAAAGAACATGAAATATACAAAAAAGAAAGTAAGAAAATAAGTAGAAAGAGAAAGAAAGAAAGAAAGAAAGAAAGAAAGAAAGAAAGAAAGAAAGAAGGAGAAGGAAGTAAATATGCAAAATAAAAAAAGAATAAAAAGAAAGAAAATCAAACTGAAGGAAGAGAAGAAAAAGAAATATGAAACGAAGGTGAGAGAAGGTAATAGAATAAAAAGAAAGAGGGAGAAGAGAAAAAGGACAAAAGAAAAAGAATAAATTAAAGCAGAGAGATGGACATAGAATAAAAGACAAGAGAGGGGGACAGAAAAAAGGACAAAAGAAAGAGAATAAAGTTGAGATATGGAAATAGAATAAAAAGAATGAGGGGGAACCGAATAAAAACAGAACAATGAAAAATAGAATGAAAACAAAGAGAAAGAAGGTTGTGGATTATAAATAAACGTAAAAGAATAATAAGAAGAAATTAAAGAGAATGGAACAAAAAAGAACGAAAGAAAAAGAATAAAAAGGAAAGAAAAAGAACAAAATAGAAAAAAATGAATTGAAAAGTAAAAGCAATAAACAAAATGAAAAAGAATGTGAATGGAACAGAAATTTAAAAAAACGTAGACAAGAGATTGAAACGAAAAAGAAGGAATTTTGAAAAATGAAAAAAAATAATAAGCGAAAAAAAAAATGAAGAAAAAAGAGAAAAAAAGAGAAATCGGCAAAAAAGGAAAAAAGCATAAAGAAAAGAGAAAAAGAGATTGAAGAGAAAAAGGACAGAAAGAAAACATTAAGAAAAGAAAAAATGAAAATAAGTAGAACATTGCAAAAACCATCAAATATATTGACCAGACCAGAAAGTTCTATAAAAACCAGGAATATAGAATCAAGACACAAAATCCAATTAGAATGTCTTTCGTTGTCTTAAAAAGTAAAACGAGAAAGTTTTATTTTTATGAGATATTCACATTTTCCTTGAAATTAAATTTTTCTGATTCCATTTTACTATGAAAGAAATTTGTATAGACCTCATATTCGTAAGATCTTAACTATATTTTTTCACTGTAGAGAAATCGTTTTTATAATATCACTGAGAAACCGATATCATAAATAGACGTTTCTAATTTAACAATACCTTCTATTTATTTGTTTTGTGATATGTAAATTGTACCCTATTTTTAAGAAGTACGAATAAGACCGGATGAAGTTCTGCAGTTCATAAAAATATAAAATCATTGATAAATTCTAAGAATTCAAGAAAAAGGGATAATTATTTAAAGGTTTAAACACTGTAAACTGTATTTATTTTTCTTTTTTATACACGCTATTTACCTTCTGACAGTCGCTTTTTATCGTGGTAGAGAGAGACTTGCGTGGTCCAATGACACTGACAGCGATGCCGTCGGGAGTTCTAACCTCCTTGTAAAACCACTATTGGTGGCAAAGTCGAAGACGAGGACCCAGGCTGAGTGCAAGCAACCCCCAATGACCCCAACAGAAATGCTATAGAAGGTACCACTTGAAATTATAACCGTGGCATTGGCATTCCATTGTGGCTTCATAACTGGATTCTACATACCTCATTCTATGTGCCGCAGAGAAATGAGATGAAATAAAGTATGTGGGTCCCTTTCTTGCAAGCCGAGGGCCACTTGAAACAAATTCATGCCATCGGCACTTTTAATCTGATTTTTTTTTATCTCCAAACAACTCAAATAAAGCCAAAAGACGATATGAAATGGATGACGAGAGCAGCTTTTGGTGAAACTAGAAGTTACTCGTTCTTACCCTCGTAAGATCTAGTCATTACTTAGGTGTCTAGTCCTGCATTCGTATTTGGGCAGGCCTGTTTAGGAGTACCGCTGCCCACCACAATCGAGAAAAATCCTAGGAAAGATAAACTAAACATCGGAAGTCATTACCAGTGCCCGGCTGAGAAACTGCACCATCATGCAGTAGAAACTTAAGAGTACCAACATGATCTTATGGAACATGGAATGTTAGAACTCTTCTCGACATTGACAACACCGACAGACCTGTAATCTCAAACAAACTGGTGAGACTCAATGTGGACAATGCACTCCTGGCTAAATCATGGCTCTCAGAAGAAGGAAACTGGTTCTGGTTATACTTTCCTTTGGAATGTATCGAACGAAATAGAGCATTTTCCATATCTAGACCGCTTTTTACTCAGATGAAGGTGTGGAACACATAATTAGAGCTGTATTCCGAGAAAGGGGTAAAGTGAATCAAACGCGTCCTCAACAACAAAGATCTTATCATAACAACAAAAATCTTGGTTTATAAAGCTGTTTCATATAAAGCTATATGTTTAAGAAACCTGGACTCTCTATTGTTTCGACATCCAAATATTAGAACACTTTCACCAGCAAAAGCTTTGTTCAGTTTTGTACATCAACTGGATATACTATGTGACCAAGAACAAAATCCTGGAAAGGGTCAGCAGTCAACACATCGAATCACTGATCATTAAACATCGCCTTCGGTGGTCATACTTTTCTCGGGTTTAACGTGCCCTTGCATAGTAATACTGTAGAATACAATTCTTACTGTTTATTAAAATAATATATGTTCGATATAATGTTTCAATTAATCAATCATATTGCTATCAATAAACTTCTGAAATCATGGTCCTTACATGTTCCATTTACTCGTAATGGACGACAAATATCAAATTTCAAATTCCGCAAGACGCAGACAAAAGTTTCTTGTTTTAGTGTTTAAATTAAAGACTAAAAAATAATAAGGCAAGCATGAAAGCATAAATGCACAAGAAAACACATACTTTCAACATGCTTTTTGAATTGAATCAGAAAGCAAATCGCTTCCATTACCACAGACTTTATCCGACCTCATCAAAATATTACACTGTTCGCAAAGTTATAGGACATAAAAAACAAGCGTAAGTTAAATTTAATTAAATATCATTTATAAAGAAATTAAACTCGTTTTAACTTATTTTTCTTAATGTTTAGCCTCTTATTAAATATTTTATTGATCGAAACAAATTAGTTTTCCTTTGATTCGTATTACAAAGTTCATTTCCGAATGTTCTGTATTTTATGGAATGTTTCTAGTGATCGAAACAAATGAAGGTTACTCATTTTCATTTTCAGCGACTGATGTCCATACGGTTGGCAATATTTTGATTCTTCGTTTGAAGAAATTTTTTTTTTTTCTTTCCGGAAAATAGTTTAAAAACTATTTTATTTATTTCTTATGCTTTTACCATTTATAAACTAATCTAGTGATCAAAACAAATGAAGGTCTACTCATTTTCATTTTCAGCGACTGATGTCCATACGGTTGGCAATATTTTGATTCTTCGTTTGAAGAAATATTTTTTTTTTCTTTCCGGAAAATAGTTTAAAAACTATTTTATTTATTTCTTATGCTTTTACCATTTATAAACTAATCTAGTAATCAAAACAAATGAAACTTTTTTAGGCATTAAAACTGGTGAGTATGAAGTATACGAAAGAGCCCCATCCTTATGATCTTATTTTCCCTTGGTTTGAATGCTTCCTTGCATAGTCATACTGTAGACAACTATTCTTTCTGTTTGCCGAAGTAATATATTTTCGATATAATGCTTTTATTACTAGAACAAATTGCTAGCAATAAACGTCTGCAGCCATGTTCTTTACATGTTCCAATAACTCGTAATGGACGACATCTTACAAATTATGCCAGACACAGACAAAAGTTTCTGGCTTTGGTTTTTGCAACGGTTTTTCTTTTTGTGATAGTCATTGTCTTTTTCGTTTTCCGTTGACATGAAAAATCCATTTTTCATCGCCTGCAACGCAATAATGAAATGTTGGCGTTTCATAGCTTTAAATGATTGCTGCAGATGATCTAATGTTGTTTTTGGTTCTAAAATGAAAGCTAATGAGGAAGAAATTCACACTTTTAAAGTTTTCATGGATCTCTTTGAATATCCATGAACAATTGAATATGATAGAGGTGCCAGATGTTTTAATGTAGATCCAATTAAATAGAAAAATAAAATACTTAATTCAGTGCTGGTCATTTTACAGGGTGAAGCTTACAAATACCATTTTGAAACCTTTTAAACTATCGTTGATATTTACAAGCCTTGTTTAACAGGAGTAGATATTTATCTCTTGTTTCCTGTGAAGGATTAGATTTTCGGTTCCTTCAGCTTTATACGTCTGATGTCTCCGCCTGCATTCTGAAATTTTATTCTGTAATCATTATTTTTTCCTTTCCCAATAGGAGCAGATAGGTTTGATTATCCTCAGGTTTATACTCCTACTTGGTCTTTGGAACAGGATTAGAGCTTTATCACTTGTTCCCTATTTAGGATTAGGTTTCTGGTTCCTTCTGTGGGTCTAAAACTGACCATAAGGTGAAAGAAAGGAAACAGTTGTATCAATTAATTTGCACAGGAGTGTATATAAATAAAAATTGAGATAAAATTTTAAAAAAACAATATAGTCAAATTACAAAGAGATCCAGAATTCATATGATCACGTGAATTAATTACTTCATCGCTAATGTAGATTTGCTTCAAGTAAAATCTACTTTCCTTATGCCGCTGTTGAAAGCTGAGAAGGGAGCTGAAAAAGAGTGTCTCTAAAAACTGTCAAAATTCTCAAATATATTTGCCATTCCGTCAGATTCTTATCCAAATTAAAATCAGGCACACAATCAGTAGAACTGGTGGCATAGCACTGACACGCTACACTTACAAATTGTTTTTTTTTTAATATTTTTAAATGATGCATTAAGAAAATAAGGAGTTATGGATAGAATCGCAGAGCCGAGTTCAAATTCCAGTCGCGTCCATTACATTCACTTACGCGCTAATACTCTTTGGAAATGCACGAATCCATCTCTTCTTTTCTATGGTTAAATAGCTGGACAGAATGGGTCCTATAAGGTTGGTTGGCAACCGGTCTAGGAGAAAGAAACACTCTGAATTCAAAACTAGCCTCAAGAGGGCTGGGCTCCGTCAGCCTGTCTTGCCGACGGGAAACAATACCACTGCTGCTGTGGCTGCAGTACATGTGGATGACACCCCTACCAACCTTAGAAAAACGTAAGAATTAAACAGTTATCTGTCATACCTGACGTACCTATTCTATTATTAATAGACTCTCCCACACATAATAAGAGGTAGTAGCGGTCGCCAGTTCGTCTCAGTGGTGTTGAGCGAGTCAGACGATATCGGACGTTGAAGTACCAACAATCACAACTAGATTGCTGCGTCATTAACTCTTATTTTCAAGTTCCTAACGTTTTGTACGTCGAACCTAATTTAGGACGACTTATTAAAATACAAGCCTCCACTGTGAAAACTACTCTACAACATTATCTATTACGCATAACTTATATGTGGCACAAGACTGCAACTATGTAGCACCCAGTGACGATCAATGTCACCAATCAGTCGTAAGTGGCCGAGTGAGAAATATGTGTACTTTACTCAGTTGCTTCATTTTGATTGATTGTATTGTAACCTAGAGAAGTTTACTGAATAGAATAATCACACGAAGTTTGGTAAGGAACGATAATACTTACTACAAGAAAAACACATATAAGATTCAACAGCGGCGCGTAGAATAAGTAGTCAACTGCTAGAAGTGAGCCAAATGAATTCCGAAATGAATCTCCAACTGCAGACCAACATACAGTATTTACGACTATATTTACGTGAATGGGGACATTATTGTCCGTTGATATACTACAATAGATTGATGTGTTTATTTAATGGTACATCCTTATGGGTCATTTAATGCCGAAATTTAATTTTCTTGGATGCTTATAGGAATAGAAA